TCTGAGCTGTACCCCAGATATCTCTGGGGTTCCTGGCCCCAAGGCCATGAGCTCACAGTCTGAGCTGTATTTGCCTGCAGGCCACCAGCCAAACCCTTGGCAACACCCTGGGATCAAACAGCCTGTCCCATTTGGCTGGCGAGTGTCACCTTGTGTGGCAGCTGCTCTGAGGTGGGTTTGCTGTGGCTGGCTGGTGGCAGGAGCTCTGGTTACCCAGAGGGCTGAGCCACCTTTCAGGAGTTCTGGGAAGCTGTGGCTGCTCGGTGCCTTTGGTCAGTGCAGTTACAGTGTACTTTGGCACAGGCATGAGAATAACATGTGCTGTGCTGGATCCAGTGCCCCAGGCAACCTGCAGAGGCTGAGGCCTGTTTGCTGTGAGATTAGGCAGAATATCCTGGAATGAGGGGCAAGAAGTTGTGCTTTTAATCTTAGCCCAGGGCAGCAGAAGGCCACAGAGCTCCTCTGAAGTGCAGCTGTGTTGGGTGTTGGAGGCTTTGCAGGCTGTCTGCAGGACATGGTACACCACACAGCAAGGTGGGGAGGGTCACATTCCCCGTGGAGGTATGAGGGCCATACTCTGCCATTTCCCAGGAAAACATCAGCACTTTTTGCTGCCTGACAGACACAGCACTGTGTAGTTCTCTGTTCTTACAAAGAGCAGAAGCTGAATTTGTTCTGGGAGTGAAAGAAGTGGTTCTTGGATGGAGAGCAATGCACACCTTTCACATCAAAAGGGAAAAAGCTTTTATTTGTGGGATGTTCCCTGGTTTCACCTGATGGCCAGACACTAGGGAGCTGTGTCAGTGTGCAGGAACACAGGCTGCAGCAGTGGGGAAGGGCACAAAGCATCTGCCAGTGTAAATCCTTGGGTGCAACTCACTGGTGTCTTGGAGCACCACTGCATGAGCATCAGCTCAGCAAGAACCTGTGGGGTTGTTTTGGGCCTGGGTAGCAGCAGGTCCTGCTGCAGAATTAAAATTAGACCATCAGCCCAGCAAGAACCTGTGGGGTTGTTTTGGGGCTGGGCAGCAGCAGGTCCTGCTGCAGAATCAGAGCAGCCCCAGAGCAGCAGGCAGCAAGCCCAAGGTTTCATCCCAGCCCTCTCCTTTTCCCACACTGGATTGCTGGTGTGACCTTTAAGCTTTCTCCTTGCAGATGTTGTTTGTTGTGAGTTTTTTCTGCATCTGTTCCTTGGTAAATGAGGTATTGGAAGAAAATATTAGAGCTCAGCAAGCTGGAGGGCAGGGGGGCCCCATTTTCCATCACTTCCTTGGGTTCCTCCCTCATCCCCTGATTCCCAGGCTGCTCCCTGTAGGAATCTGCCCCCTTCTGTTTACCCAAAAGTGTGACATTGCCATCCTCTGGTGTTTGTTTAATCCCTTCCAGCTCCTGATGCCACTGAAATCCCAGGAAGATTTGGACAAAGCCATGGAACAGTTGGAGCTGAGCCCTTCCCTGAAGAGCCTGCGGATCCTTGTGAGCGCTCCAAAGAAAGCGAACGTGAGCCCTTCACCCTCTCTGCTTCTTTGTGTGCAGCCTGAGATGCCTTGTTATTGTGCTGGGGAGTGGAGAGGAGTCTCCTGATGGTGCAGAGCAGAGGGCAGGCTGGTTATGAGAAGGGTCAGCCCTGCTCTGGCTCCGCTGCTCAGAAATGTTCCTGTGATAGCAGCCCAGAGGCTGAGCTCAGCTCCCTCTGTGTCCTGTGAAGGGTTAAACACCAGGCTGACCCTCAAAGCTGAGAGGTATTCTAGTGCTTTATTTCTTTCTAGAGATGCTGCCACCATTCCTTTTCCCTCTCCTCTGTGTTCAGGGTGATGCCCTGGCCCTTGCCATGCTGGGTGGCAGCGTGGGGAACGTTCCCTCCTCGTGCTGCAGCCATGCTAAAAGCTGGGAGAGCAAACTGGAGAATCCTTCAGTCTCATGCAGAACTGTCTGGGTTTTTTCCATCTTTATTTACTTATTAGTTTTTTTCCTGAGCTCAGTGGTTTTGCAGTTAAGCCTGTTAGCCTGACCTTGCTTGCACAGAGTGTCTTGCCAAAGCACATGTCGTGCTGCCCCAAGCACAGGCTGTAGAGCAAGGGATTTGTAGATGTTGCAACTCTTGTTTCTTCTTTGTATTTCCTAGAAGTACTGGAGAGATTGAGAGTCTTGAAACTCAGTTATCCCCATTCTTGTGTGGGTACTCACAGCCCTTGGAGCTTCTCCACTCCTTTTGGGAGGCTTGGGAAGTGCAGGGAGCAGAGGGAAACTAAGGAAACCCGGGGGAAACTGAGCCTTGAGTTGGGGTTTCCTAAACCGTGGGTGGAAATGGGGCAATCTGTGGGAGCACAGCAATACTGCAAGTCACAAACCCTGGGTGGAAATGGGGCAATTCATGAGAGTAGAGCTGAGTCCCAGGGGAAACTGAGCCTTGAGTTGGGGTTTCCTAAACCCTGGATGGAAATGGGGCAGTCTGTGGGAGCACAGCAATACTGCAAAGGAGCAGAGGAGCCAGGTGAATCCCTGCCTGCCCTTGGGAGCAGGTCCTGCAGCATGTGGCCATGCTCGTGTATGTGAGAGTACACAGTTCTGAGGTCATGCATGAAATGATCATAAAATTACAGTTCACTGTAAAGTGTTTTCTTAGGATCTTAGTAAAACCTGGCCACTACCAGGTTACCAGCTGGATATGCTTTCCTTTGCTCTTCCCTTACCTGTTTTTCCTGACCTTCCCCTCTCTGTTCCTCTGCCCTGGTGCAGAGGAACCTCTGCAGTGCCTCAGCTGCCACTGGAGTCTAGGGAGCAAGCAGGAGAGGTGCTGATTTTGGGATTGCAATGTTTTTCAGTCCAGTGATCAGTCTCTGTACCTATCTGGAGATAATGGAGTACAGGTATTTTATGTCAAATATCTGTATTTGCCATTATCTGAGAGCCTAATCTTACTAGACTGTTTTATTAGCAGATGTGAATTGTTTGTGAATGGTTTTTGGATCACTCTGGATTACGTGCATGTCTTCTTTCTTTCCCTTTTTTTTTTTTTCATAGTTCTTGGGTAATAGGGTCACAGGGAGCCAAATACAGGGTTTCACATGGTGTGTCCACAGGGCTCTGGCCAATTCTGATCATTCCCTTTGTCTGATCACCAGCTCCTGCAGCCCAACAACAGCAAGCAGCATGAGATGAGGATCTCCAGATCCATGGGAGATATCATGGGATCCCTGTACAAAGACTCGGAGAGGACACGCAAATATTCCACAGGTCAGTGAGACACAAAGAGCACTCCCTGGGGAGCTCTGTGCTGCTTCAGCCTGGCCACCACCCTCTCCCTCTTTCTTTGTCACAACCCCAGCCTGGATGGCCACCCTGATGTCCCCCAGAGTGACCCAGTGCTGTCCTCAGACTGAGGAAGAGAGGCTCTGCAGGCTGTGCTGAGCAGAGTCACTCTGAGCACACACGTGGAGAGAATGGGGGACCTGGGCTGTCATTTGGGGGTGGGAAATGCAGTGATAAAAATTTACAGTCAGTTTGATTCCACTGAGGTTTATCTCTTGATGAGGTTTATCTGTTGTTCTCTGAGTTTCTGTCCCCTTCCTCAGGCTCCTTAGCTCCTGGGCTGGACCACCTCCACCACATAAAGACCAAATAATTTCTGTGTGCCACCAATCTGTTCTTGTGGGTGCAATGACATCTGTGGGAGCTGTTTCTGGGGTTTCTCAGGGACATGTGTGTAATGGTGACATTCCAGAGGAAGGGGAGTATCCCTTTCCTTCAGAGGTGCTGGAAGCAGGTACCTGCAACCCCTGAAACCAGGCTGGCAAACACCTGATCTGCTCTTGCATCCCTACAGGGACTGGAGTTTGTTTGTAGCCTTGTGTGGTTTTCTATTTGGTTTTCTGGGCTTGAGTTTATGCTTCTTTGCTTTCTAAAATCCTCTGAGCTTTTTGAAATCCTGTTGGTCAGCTGTCTGTAGGAGCTTTTGTGTGAAGAACCTTGGAGGATTTTGTAGAGAGCAGGGCACCCTGTGCAGAGCTGGTAAAGCAGTATGTAGGACTGGATAGCAGGAGCAGAATTATTCATATTCCAGCCTGCAGGCAGGATAAATGACTTTTTCCCACAGTGAATGTTCTCTGCTGTGTCTCTGGGTGCAGGTTATAGGGGAATTTCTACAGATCTTTATCATTTTCATGCAAGTACTTGCCAGCTGTAGAAGTGACAGCCTTGAATAAAGTGGGGCCCTCCTTCAGAAATACACATGGAGAAATACTTCATCCTCTAAAGATCCTCTGTACTTATATGGCAGTAAACACTTCCAAACTCTTCTCTGTGCAAGAAATGAGTGTTTTTCTCCAAGGACTCCCCCCTTCTCTGTTTCATAGCCTGTGCTGATAACAAATCCTGTGATTTGCTGCACCTCAGACAAGATGTATAGAAAATGTTCCTCTAGGGTAGGTCCAGCATAGCCCTTGTGCAGCCATGCCCAGCTCTCAGTGATGCCAGGGCTGGGTGGCACATGTGCAAGGGTTCTCCTTGAGCTTGGTGTTTGGATATACCAGGCTTGTCTTTTTCGATTGATTTGGGGGTTTTTTCTTAGCTCACGTGGTTTTTGAGAGTTTGGCAGAGTCACTGGATGAAATGCACACATAAAGCACAGAGTCTCAGCAGAAAATGCTTGAGCAAAACCTTTCTGCTGCCTTTTTTTTTATTTTTTGGTGCATGTTAGGCTGTTAATGAGCAAAGAGCTGTGGCACTGGGAGCTGTCACTGACACATGTGTGAGCTGAGCATGATGGGCAGGGTTGATTCCATGTGTAGCTGTGCTAGTGGAAAGATGAATTCTTGCAAAGTTAAGCCTTTCCTACCAACTTTTATTTCCATGCTTTGGCCTGTCCTTCCTGTTTTGGGGCTGCTGGTTCCTGACCAGCTCTGCACCACTGACTGTGAGGTGTCACTGTCTCAAGTGCCCTGAGCCAAGGCAAGGCAGACAAAGGGTGAGATTGCAGCTCTGCAAGGGTGAGAGCCTGAGGTACAAATGGATTTTGAGGGAATGCTTGAAGAGCAGAGTGGAGGGATGGACACAATGTGCTGCTTTATTCAGGGTAGCAGCTGTGGCATGCAGAGTGTGCTAATACTGGGATTTTCAGGAGCCGATGTGCAAAACTCTGAGTCCTTGGTACTTTTATATGGTCAGGTGGCAAAAGTAACCAGCCCAAGCATCAGCCATACCTGTTTCTTTTTCCATGTAAGCCATCAGTGTTGCCAGGAGGTTTCAGCAAGCCCTCAGCATGACAACAGAAGGTTGTTGTCTCTCTTTATCTTTCTAACTCCTCTCTTTTGGTTATCTGGGGTCTGTAGGAAGCTGCTGCAGCTCTGCTTGGGGGGTGCTCACAGTCCAGCAGATGCATTTTTGACCTCCTGAGTCAGAGCTGGGCAATCCAGCAGCTGGGCAGAAACTCCAGCAAGCTGAAAGGGAGAGCAGCATCTCAAATGGAGCATAAAACCCAGCATCAGGGAACAGACAGACAGACAGACATGATGCTGTGTTTTGTTTTCCTGCAGTGGGGATTTCACTGAACTTGGTGCATAGTCAAAAGGCATCCTAAGAGGCTGGGAATTCTGCAGGAGAAACTTCTTCCCTTGCAGTCACAAGGCATTTCACAGTGTTTTCCTTCTGCTGTCATCAAAGTGGTTGCTATCAAAAGAGGATCTTAATTCAGTTCAGCTTTTCTCTTAAAACCCCATTTAAAAGGAGATTTAAAGTGGCTTTATACTAAAAGGTAGTTCAGGGTCATGTTCTCTGTGTTTCTGAGATGTCTCATGTTTTTTTGCTGACTCTGCCATGTAAACAGCAGTGGAAAGTAATAAAGCTGTATGTAATTGGCACAAGCACATTGGAAGGGAGGTAAATGTTCTGGGGAAGATTTAGCTATTTTTGCTTCTGCTGGGCAGAAAATGTCTTCATGCCATGTCCCTGAAAAACCTTATGCAAAGTCAATATTTTCTTTCTTTCTTTTTTTTTTTCCCATAAACTTTTTCAGTGGAAATCCCCTTCCAGTTTTTTGGTGGCCAGCAAAAGTCCAAGGAAACTTGGACTGGAAAAAGAAAACTTTTGGGGTTCTGGATTTTCAGATAACTGAGGATTGTTTTTATTTGCTTTGAAGAAATACATGTTTCAGAACATTATCCAAAAATTATTTAACAGCCCTATTCCAGCATCACCATCTCAATAGAAACTTTTACTAGAAGCTTTATTTTACTGTTTTTTTTCATGGAAAACCAGGCTGCTGAGCCATGGTTTCATGTGCCTGCCAGCTCTCTCCAGACCAGGAGCATTGCAGGAGTTAGGATGGATGAAACCTGCTCTGTTTTGAGAAGAGGAAGAAAATTTATCTATGTGCATCATGCCAGCTGCTTTAGAGCTAGAAAATAGGTTCTGTCTTGCTTATTAGTTTAAAAGTACCCTAAATTTGCTTCAAATCAAAATGTAGAAATCCATGCTCAGAAGGACCAGCAAGGAGAGGAGAGAGGCTTGCAGGGAAAAGAAGAAAGAAAGGAAGATTTAATCCATCTGCTCACAACTCCCCTTGACAGGACCAGAGAGAAGAATTTCCAGCAGGTTTCTCTCTTTCTCCTGTCCTGAGCGTGGTGTTTCTGCCAGGGCTCAGAGGAGCAGCACATCCTGACGTGCTGTCCCTTGTTTGGGAACGTCATCCCAGGGCTGGGCTCCCTGTGGCTGCAGCTGTGAGTGGTGGCAGCTGCCAGCAAACTCTCCCCAGCTCTGGCTCTTCCAGGGCTTCTCTTCCCTGCTTGCTGCTGGTCAGTAGTGGGTGAAGTTTTGGGAAGAGCAGGGGAGGTTGGAGCCAGGGAATGCAGGGGTGGAGGGAAGCCAAGGCTGGCACAGGGGAGCTGGCTGTACGTGCAGCACCACGAGCTCTGCACATACTGCAGGAAAGGCTCTTCTTAAAGAAAAACAGCAGAAGGGAACATGAAAGGCCCCAGTGGGTGCCAGCAGTGACTGTGAGTCTCCGTGCTGTCCTGGTTGTGTGTCCTCAGGACACTCTGTGCTCTCCTCTCAAATCTATGGCTTTACATTTGTGTGTGTAAGTGGAGCAGGAATCCCTCCCCAGAGCACCTTGCTGCAGAGAGAATCTGAGGTCAGATGCTCAGCCAGGACCAGCTCTGAGTTCAGGAATCCCAAACAGAGCTGCTGAGATCTGACCAGCACTCTGCCTGTACAGAAGTGCCTCACAGCCTGCCCCATCCCTATTGTATTTGTGTTCCCCCAGACGAAGGCAGGAATGATGAATCTGACTCCATGTTCTCAGAAGGCTAATTTATTATTTAATAATACTATATTATATCAAAGAATACTATACTATACTAAACAATAGAGAAAGGATACTTACAGAATGCTAAAAAGATAAAAATGAAAACTCCTGACTCTTACCAGAGTCCTGACACAGCTTGGCCCTGATTGGCCAAAGAGTGAAAACAACTCACAGCAGAATCCAATGGAACAATCACTTGTGGGTAAACAATCTCCAAACACATTCCACATGTGAGCACAACACACGAGAAGTAAATGAGATGAGAATTGTTTTCCTTTTCTCTGAGGCTTCTCAGCTTCCCAGGAGGAAAATCCTGGGTGAAGGGATTTTTTCAGAGAATGTGAATGCCACACATCCCCACCAGAGCTGACATGTTGTCCCATAGACCCCAGGACAGTCCCTTGGGGACCTCCTCTCCCTGCCTGGTGCTGCTGCTGTTTTCTGAGTATTAGGTCAAGTGTGAAGAGCATCTGTGGTGTGTCAAACAGGCACATCTAGACTTTTCTGTATTTTTCTTCCTCAGGATGGATTAATCAGCGTTATCCAATATATCCAGTGTGTTTTCCCCACTATGAATTAAGCCTGCGTGAAGTACCAATGTTGCTCTGTTTCTCTGACCCTCATCCAGCAGCACTGGGATTGCCTGAGGTTTTGTTACCAGGATAGGGCTGGAATGGGGAATCAACCCTGAGCTCCAGAGCTCCGCTCCCAGCACCTCCCCGTGTTTCCCCCAGGTGGAAGAATATGCATGGATGCAAAGCAGCAGCAACCAGTGCTCCTGAAGGTGTGAAGCTGCAAAAATTACTTTGGGCAGTGCTTCTGCCCAAACAGCCTGGCTGAAAAGGGATCTGCTTCACTCCAGCAGTTTCCAAGCAGGCAAAAGCCTAAGCACTTTGTTTAATTTCCTTACCTGCTGGGAAATAGCTGGTGTCTTATTCCCTTTTAAAGTTTTTGGCAGGAAATGTGACTCTGGAAGGTCAAACACAGCTGATCTATGGCTGGGAGTAGTTGTTACAGGCAAAGGCTTAATGGGAGATCATGGGAAGTCTTTGTGCTTGTGATAAATCTGGTTTAACTCCCTGTTGTTCAGAGTCAAACAGGGCATGTACAGATCTTTGTAAAATCATAATCAAAGGCTTTCTGGATAGCAAGTGGGTCCTTGGAGCAAGAAATCCCAATGGTGCATGAGCAGATCCACAGCTCATTGCAGCAGTAACAGAAATGCTCAGCAGGGCTAAGCAGTTACACCTCACTAAATCCTCCAGCAGCTTTCTGGGGCAAGAGCCACCCAAATGTCCTTGTGCTGCATTCCAGATTGGCATCTGCTAAGCAAATGAGGGGCTGCTGATGCAGTGATTTATTCAGGGTGCCTGAACTGCTCAACAGTTAAAAGTTTATTTATTTATCTTCAAAGAGAGGATGCTGTACTTCCCAACTGGTTTTGTTTTAGGGCTGGTGGAAAGCCAGTTCGTTATGAGGGCTGCAGCACTTGAGAGTTTCTCTTCTCTTGATCTTGGCATTACTTCAGTTGGAGATTTTTTCACTGTGTTCTTATCCTGCAGGAAATCTGTGAAGGAGAAAATAGGAAGAAGAAAAAAAAAGTAACTCAAAGCCATATGACTTTTATTTTTACAATCTAAGCAAGGAGTCAGAAGAAGGATGTAGCATGGACAGACAGATCTGTGTGTTTGGTGTAAATCCAATGATTTAATGATCTTTAATGCTGGTGTGACACTGTTAACATTCACAGCTCCTGATGTGTATCTGCTTAAGTGAAAGGTGGGAACTGGGGTTGGTAGTGTTGATCACGGAGATGGATTTATTCCACAGATCCATCTGGCACAGTAATGTGATGCAGAAGAGGCAGAAATGTTGTTTGATAGATCAGTGTTGACTCTCCATGATGGGTAGGCCCCCTCCCTGTACCTTTCTCTTGTGCTCAGCCCTGGGCATGTTGTTAGCAAAAGGTGGTAATGAGCCCAAGAACTGGTGAGAGTGCCACAAAATGGATACAGAATGTGAGGAAATGCATCTCCATGTGCTTTCCATCGCCTCAAGGATGTGTGCTTTTCAGCAGCCTGCATGAAAACAGGTTGTTGTGTTGTGTGAAAGCTCATGTTGCACAATGCCAGCTGAAGCTCCAGCATGGATCCACACAGATCTCCATCAGCAATTCCCTGCCTTGGAGTGATGACAGCACAGGGGTGGAGGGGAGGGACTGCAGGGAGCCAAGCAGAGCCAAGACTCTGCAGCAGGGCAGCAATCCCTAAAGCTGGAAAAGGAACAAGGATAGAGTGGATTTGGAGGAATGGAACATCTTCATAAAGAAGCTGTGGGGTTCTCTGCCAAGTGCAAACTGGAAATCACCTTCTAAACAAGCCCTGTGAGGGAGCCAGTGGGATCTTTGCTGCCTGTGCATAGGATGCAGAGGATAGAGGCTCTGGGGTTATAGACAAGGGAGACAATTTCCTTGGCCAAAAATGAGACAAATCAATCCCATAGGTCATTCCTGCCCTGGGCTTTTTGGGTTTGAGGGCTGGTTTTCCTTTGTCTTTACTTTTGTGTAGGGAGAGCAGGGAGAAGAGAGGGTATTTGAGTGCAAGTTTTCCATATAACAAGTGTTTCAGTGATGTTGCACTGAGCACAGCCAGGCTGTTTCCCACATGCCTGGACAAGGCAGTAACCTGCTCCAGGGAGGGAATGCCCAGAGGTCAAAGGGGAGGTGGGTTTGTGGTTTTGTGGTTTGCTTTGAGACTGACTGATTGTATCACAGCAGAACTCCCAGAGCTCTTTGCTTTCTAGCATCACACCTGGATGCAGTGACAGCTCTTAGGATCGAGTGTGTTGAAGGTCAAGTCTGCTACACATTGTGTGATCCCACAGTAACAAACCCTCCCTGGTGCTAAAGCTTTGGAGGATGCCCATAAACAGCATCGCTCCTCTAGCTCCATTCCCATCCTCATGAGTTCAAACCCAGCTGTGGCACCAGCTCTCTGGTCACAGAGAGGAACAGACAACTTGACAACTTTCCCACGCATCATTCTGTGAAAGGCTCTGAGAAGCTCAGAGAGAAGAATTAGAAACAATTCGTATCTTCACTTGCTGCACCTGATGTTGTGAACATGTGGAATGTGTTATGGAGATATGTTTACCAAAGGCTTGTTTCTTAATTAGCCAATGGTGATAGTGTTTTAATTAAAGGACCAATCAAGTCCACCTGCAGGGATGGAGTTGATTGGTTCTTTAATTAAAACATCATCAGGTGTTTTAATTAAAGGACCAATTTTAGGGATAGGGATTTTATACTAGGGTATAAAAAGCAATGGGTTTGTTAATTGAGTGAATTAGCCTTCTGTGAATGCCCCAAGAGTCTGTGTCACTGTCATGAGCTCCTGTGCTGGCACCCAGCAGCATCTCCAGGAGCTGTGTGCTCAGTGGGACAGCGTTTCTGGAAGGGTTTGGGTTAGTGGGTGCCCTCCCTGACCGTGTGTGTCCCTGGCCAGGCTCCCTGCACACCGGGCGCAGCTCCCCGCCGCCGGGCAGCGTTCCCGAGGAGCAGCAGCAGATCGCCCGCCAGGGCTCCTACACCAGCATCAACAGCGAGGGAGAGTTCATCCCCGAGACCATGGACCAGAACGTGAGTGGGGCTGGGGGGTGGCTGCAATGGGACAGCTCTGCTGGCTCCTTGGGATCTCTGTTGCTCAGAGTGACCCTGAGATATATTAGAAAGTCTCTTTTCTCAGCCTGGCACTCGAAGAAGGAGTCAGAGCTCTTCAGTTATCGGTCTCAAGGTTGTTTATTGTTCCTTATCTATAAAATTTTTTCACCTGTCTAGCCAAGGTCCACTCAACATGACAGTCAGAGGCACTCTGCCTGCCCCCAGGCAGTGTTATCTTTTTATACTAAAAACTATCTGTACAATATTTACAATTACTTTCCAATGCCTATCACCTGTGTTAGACAGTGAGCTTCTACTCTAAACCAATCTAAAAGTGCCAACATCAAAGCAGAAGATGGAGGCCAAGAAGAAGAAGGAGAAAGGCTGGACAGGCTCAGATTCCTCCATCTTGCCCCCTGAACCCCCATTCTAAAAACCTCAAAAATCTAATTTTCACCCCGTGATAAATTCACTATCATTCTGCTTAAACTGTTGTGGCTTGCAGATCTTCATGTAAGGTTGGTAACTTGCTCCATGGGTCATAATCAAACCCACAGGTGTTCTGGGCTCTGTGCCAGGATCTCTGAGCCCCCTGGCAGGGGTCTTGGCAATCCAGGACAGCCAGAGGGATGTCCTGAATTCCAACACTGTCTGTGCTGGGAGAGCTGCTCCCACCTTTACATTCTGGCAGTGCCTGTGCTTGGGGCTCAGGCCAGCTTTATCCAGGAATGGGTGCCCCTGGGCTTGACATGCCCATGGGAGTGTCTGATTTCCAGGAGCCCCGAGAGCCACTGGGGATGGCAGATGTGCCCAGGCACCTCAGGTAGCCCTGGGGCACACATGTGCACCAGCTGCCAGGCCCTCGTGGCCACAGCATTCCCAGATCCCAGGACTGTGAGGGAATGTGCCAAGCAACCGATTGCCTGCGATTGCAACAGCCTGGGGATATCAGCAGCTCTGGCTGCTTCCCAAGTGGTGTTTCTGCCTGAGCTCCAGTTACAGTTCTTGGCTCTGCCCACAGCCTTTGTGGTTTTGTGTCTCTGTCTCTCCCCCATTTATATTTTTTTAACTCTCTTAATAAGGAAATTGTATATTCCAGTCCCTCAGTAATAAAAGAGCAGCAAGTTCCTCAGTGCTGAGCAGTACCTCATCCTCCAGTCAATTTGGTACCCACAGTGAGGGAAACTGCAGTGTCAAGGGACTACAGTGGGAGCACCTTACACTTCCCTCTCAGTTTGCATTTCTGCTCAACCTGTAGCTCTGAAGAACTTAGTATAGATCCTGTGAAGTCAGCTGGGCTGTCTGAGCACATGTCATTCTTACAAAGCTCTTGGAAACACAGGACCAAGAATCCCTAGTTTGCAGGAGGGACATCTGGAAGACACTAAACTCAGTCCATCAGGTTGCTATGCTGGCCCCCAAGGATATTCCTGGGGAGATGTGTATTTCCTACACTCAAAAGCACCCACTTGCTCCACATTTGCATGCAGGCTGTGCCAGTGTTTCCATGGCAAAGTTGTGTTTTCAACAGTTTATTATCCAGCCATTAATAAAATAAGAAGTCACTCCGGGTGAGTCTTGGCAGCGTCAGAGTGCAGATGTATCGTGTGCTCCTTGCAGCCAAAAGCTGGCTCTCCATTGTTTTCACATGCCTCCAAAACATGTTGGGGAGGATTAAGACAAAGTGTGTGTGTGTGTGTGTGTGTGCAGGGGGAGGGTCCCCCTGACCCCCTTGGGTGTAAATCAGCCCAGCTCCACTTGCTGTTTGTGCAGCTCCATTAATTCAGAGCCCTGAGCCTGCTCTGGATGAAGGTTCCCAGATGCTCTCCTTGCTTTTCCCCAACATCACTCTGTGGGTGGCCCACAGCCCTTTGTTAGCAAAGTAAAAGCAGGGAAAAGGGGTTTGGGGAATGGTTTGGGGTTTATTGTCTTTCCTCATTGAGCAGTTCTGCTTTTCCCTATATGGGCTTTGCCTGCAGAATGTTCTTGTACTGCTGCTTACATATGTGCCTGATGGAAAAGCACTCAGAAGCTGGAGCTTGCTGCCTTTTGGGGAATGCCCCTGTGCAAGCCTGTGATGTAACTGTGGTCTTGGGACCAGCCTGGCAGATGAACAGAGGCTGAGTATGGAGCATGCTCCAATTCCCAATTTTATGCTTTTGAGAAATGAGTCTGTTTCAGCTTTCACTGCTGGGAGAGACCTGGCATGGCTGGCAGAGGTGGGGAGTGGCTTCTGTCAGAGTGCTTGCTCCTCTTTGGCCTAGTGCATTTTGAAGGAGGTTTTAGGGTACAAACTAGGAAGCAGAGAAGAATTGCACTTTGCAGTTGGGACTGCCTGGCCAAAACAGCACGAGCTGTTCTGACAACTGGCTGAGGAGGGCTGATAGGAACAGCCTGGGGAAAGGGAGCCTGTTGGGGAAGGAGGAGTGATGTGGGAAGCAGCAAAGTGTGGCTCCACATGGTGTTTAACCCTTGTTGCTCAGCTTTCCCAGGAGTGAGCTGTGGAGCAGGGGTTAGTGAATGTCCCAGCCAGGAGGGAGCATGGCAGCACAGTGTGGCTCGGAGCAGGCTCTGCTCCATGTGGAGCTGCACACAGCTCCAGGGTTTACCACTCCTTACAAACCCTCTATTGTTACTAACCAGCTATAAATAACCCTGGCCAGTACAATGTCTCATCCAGGAAGCAACACAAATGCAGCTTTTGACTTCACTGGTGAGTGCCAAGCCAATTCTTCCAGCCAAAGCCCTGATGATGCTGCTCTTATCAGCAGAGAGGAAGGCTGGGCTCGTGTGCCAGGGCAGCTCGGGAAGTCAGGAGCCCAGGGCTGCACTCCTGCCTCTGCTACACAATATCCACTTGGCCTTGGGCACATCATTTGTATCCTGATGCATATTTTCCTTTAGTAGTAAGGAAAAACTAGTAAATATTGTTATTTCTCACAAATGCTTTGAGCACTTTGAATCTCATTGACTCCTCTGCATGCTTTGAACATCAGGGTGCTGATGATCTTTGCTTCAGTTTTCCTACCAGCAAATAGCAGCTGGAAAGAACAATAATGCAAAAAAGGCATCATAAATGGATGACCCTGCAGCGGTCTGCTAGTTCTGGAGCTTGGGGATCTACAATGCATGGTTTATTGTTTCCCTTTTCTTTCTCTGTCAGATGCTTGAAGCTTTCATCAGCCCTGATGATTCTCTGTCTGGGAGCTGCCAGTCACTGGACAGGTCTGTGGACAGGTGAGTTGTGTGTGTCACCATGTTCCCAAGCTGAACTGCAGCCTCTGCTCCTCAGCAGGAGAGCAACAGGATCAGTGGAAACCCCTGAGGTTTCTGTTGGGATGAGGGTGCAGCTGAGTAAAACAAATTTATCTTTATTGCTGAAAAACAGATCCTAGCACAGATGTCTGTGCAATGATTTGAATTGCAGTGATCTGGCCTGGACAAAGACAGCCTAGCTTTGTGTGACCAGGTTTTCTTTTTTGCCTTTTGACATGAAAATTCTCACAGAATCACAGAATTGTTTGAGTTGGAAGGGACCTTAAAGATCATCCAGTTCCAATCCCCTGCCATGGGAAGGGACAGCTTCCACTAGACCAGATTACTCAGTGCTCCATTTAGCCTGGCCTTGAATTCTTCCAGGGATGGGCACCCACAGTTTCTCTGGGCAGCCTTTTCCAGTGCTTCACCACCCTCACAGCACCTCCTTCCCCTCCGGCTCTCTGCAGTCACCAGGTCAATATTCCATCAGCCTCTCCATGCCTCCTCCTCCCTGGGCACGCTGTCTGCTCTCCACTGACCACTGGCAAGCTCAGCAGCCCCTGTGCAGTGCCAGCAGCCACAGACGTGTCAGTCGAGGTGCTGGGGACACCAGATGAGCAGTAACTAAGTTTAGCTACTCAGCAGGAAGCAACTGGGACACGCTGTACTAAGCCAGGCTGCGATTCAGTGCCTGCTGCCATTGAGCTGGATCCCAGCTCCCACGTGCACAGAATCCCTGTGTTTGCTGCTGTGCAGGGTGAGCTGTGGATAAGACACAGTGTCCTTTTGGGAAGCAGTGTATTTTTTTTTCCATCTGCATCAAAGGTTGTCTATTTTTTTCCGCTGTTGCTGTTCCATCCAGCCCCAAGGCTGTGTTCCAGCAGGCCTGCCTGCCTTGGGTTGATTGTGTAGCATGCTTGGGGTTTGCAGCTCCGTGTGCTTTGGACCTGTCTCAGCATCAAGGTCCATTTCCTTTTTGTGGCTTTTAATAATTTCCTGTGATGTATTTGCTCATTGTTAGGGCTGTATCGAAGCTGGATTCCTTGTGTTCCCAACCTCTCTGCCCCAGCTTTGCTTTTGCACAGATTTTGCCAAGAAGAGCAGCAGAAGGAGCATGGGCTGTTTGTAACACTCTGCTGTGAACTGAGAGGAGAGCTTTAGGCTTTTAGCTCTGTCTGAGAGGGTGGCATGGTCTGATTTGCTGTCCAAAGCAGGCAGATGTGTCCAGTCATGGGTCTAGGAGCTGGAAAAGGCACAAGGAGGGCTGTATTACTCCAAGGAAGAGGAGTTAGTGGGACACTTCCTGCAAAGAGCTGGTGGAGGCCTTCTAGCCAGTTGTTGGGATGGCATCAGCCCAAGAGGACAGGAAGTGAACAGGCTCAGTGACCAGGCTGAAGGTTAGGAACAGCATCACAAACTCCTCTTTGCCACAACAGGGATCAGCTTTGACATGAGTAGGTTTCAGAGCACTTTACAAAGCTGATTTCTACTCTGTGCCCATATTGTTAAAAGAGAAGTGTAAAACCCACATGCCCAGCTCACTCTCTAAGAGCCTGGGGTGAAATTGGGATTTCTGCAATCCCCTTGCAGTGCTTTTCCATCCTCTCACTGTAGTTTAAAGGCCTTGAGGCACCAATGCCACACTCTCCCTCCTGGTCCTGTGGGAGGTTGTGTGTTCCCAGAGGTGGTGCAGAGTCTGTGTGTGAGAAAGGTTGGAGGTGATGTTGGACAGGAGGGAAAGCTGCATGAACTGAGCATGGCTGAAGGGCTCTGGTGTGAGCACCTGTAGCAGCTCAGCAGTGTCCATGGAAAGCAGAGATGTGTGGTTGAACACTTGACACTGAGGGAGCAGAAGCCTGTGGCCCTCCTGAGCTGCCTCCTGCACAGGGGTGATGATCTTTGGCTGCTTCATTTCAGCTTGGTGACTGTGGGTTTTGCAGCATCCCTTTTGTTTGCCACAGGAACAAGCTGTGATCCAGCCAAAAAACCAGTCCTCATTCTTGTGCAGGATGAGGTTGGGAGCTCAGTGGTCAGTGCAGCTTGTGGTTTATCCTGTCCCTTCCCTAGTGTATTAATTCCATAGCTGTTCTGATATAATAAATAAATCCTTTTTTTTTTTCCATCCCTTTGCAGCCCTCCCTTTCCCCAAACCCCTGTTCCTGGAAGGAAGAGCCATCCCAAAGACAGTCTTGATTGCATGGGTAAGCACTCTTGGTGGTTTGGATTTGCTGAAAAGTATAAAAAGCTTATAGTGAAGAGGCTGGATGAAGACTATTAGAGAGATGGCACTGCATGAAAAGTAATTAAAAGTAATCAAGCAAACCAGCTCCATGGCTTTAGTAACCCTTCAGAACTGACATTGCAATGATCAAACATGAATATTCTCTAAAATCAAAAGGCCCAGAGCATCAAACACAGACAGGGTTGCTCTTGTCTTCATTAACCCTTTGTGATTCTGCAGCAATACCTTTGGGGCTGGTTTGGGAATCAATTGACAGCAACAATAGTCCAAACTGGGCAGCTGAGGCCCTGAGGTGGATGGATGCAAGCAAGCAAAGCTTGAGATCTATGCTGGAAGATGTTGCTCTTGTGTTTGCAGACAACTGCAGGGTGCTGGGAACAGCCTTGTGGGATCAGCTTTTGTCTCTCTTTTCTCATCTGGGAGTTGCCCCTTCAGGATCTCGACTTCCTACACAGCAAACCCCAACTCCCTAGGGAGTTACATCTCTTCCACTTGCATGAATAATAATCTGCAATAGTGCAAATGCTGGGAGAGAAGCTGTATTGGTGCTTGCACAGATCATAGGTTACTGCTTAATCACTTACAAACATCCAGCTGCTTAAATAATGGAAACTCTGTAATATTGTAATGACTTGCACTAATAAAAATGAGCAAATGGCAGCCAGCCTGTGGCTGGATAACTCATTGCTGGCCTGAGGCAGGATTTCTAGATTGAGCTGCAGAGATGAAGCTGCAGTCGGCCCTGGTTGCTGAAGGTTTTAATGCTTCCCCTATGGCACTTTGCTTTGAGACACCTCTGGGCACCGTTGCTCACACGTGGCTCACTGAGAACCTCTTGCCCTGTCCTTGTTGCTCCTCTTGCTGACCATATTTCAGCCATTATGTGCTCTTTTTGGCAATCACACCGAAGCACAGCAGAGGCCAGGAATGGCCTCTGAGGAGCTGCTGCTGGCCCCAGGCTAAGACAAACAAACAGTCAGAAGGGGCTGTGTCATTAGAATTGGATGGAGGAAAAACAGCAGGTGAAAGAAGGGGGTGGAATGACAGATATTTTAATCTCAAGTTATTTGGTGCTACCAGCAATGGCTTCCTGTGCTGGGGTTTTTATTAAAAAAATATGTCCTTATCTTGCATGTCCATCCATCTCTCTCATCATCCAGTGTCTAAACTCTGATGGTCTTTAATCCCTTCTGTATAGTCTATCTTTCTAGCATTTAATTAAATAAATATAAAAGTTTGGAGCTCTGGAGGTTTGAATTGGCTTTCAGAGGGGAGGAGTCACATATGAGAAGAAAGAGGGGAGATGTTATCTGGTGTTAGTCAAGTGCTGGATTTTTTTGCATTTTCCTGGAAATAGCTGATATCATAACAAATGTTTTGGAGTGGATGTGTCTAGGCCTGACCCTGCCTGGCAGTTCTGTTTAATTTTTTTGCATTTTCCAAGTGCAAATAAGATGTTTTAATGCTATGCCTTGGAAACCAAGCATGGTCTGTGTTAATCCCCTGCCTTGGACTTGAACAATGTGGGCCAGGGTCCATAAAGTGAGCAGTTAAACCTCTGATTTTGAGGCACTAAGGGCAGTGTGTCTAACCCTGATTTTCCACTGAAGAGTTTATGAGTGTGGGCAGATTTCACTTGGGGTATGTAGGGTTGTGAAAATGAGCACCTTGTCTCCTCTTTCTCACCTCTAACTCAGCGTTTCCCATAAGAAACACCCTGGGCATTTGATACTGAGCTGATCTCAGAAATATCTGTGTCTTCTTCCCTCCTGGCAGATTTTGACATCCCATTCTGTGAGAGGTTTGGGAAAGGTGGGACCTTCCCAAGGCAGTACCATCTCTCCCAAAGTCGCAAGGACTACAGCGATGGTAAGGACATGATGGGGGCTCAGGGAGGGGGTGATCAGTCCTTGGTGCCTTGTGCCAGTGCCTGGGACTGGAAACACTTGGGAAGGAGAGGTTTCTGATAAAGGGAGAGCCACCAAGTGCTTTGGGATTCACTTGTGTATTCAGAAGGGTGTTCTCTGTGAGACCTTGTGGCTCTGCTCTTGGGAAATGTTGAGCCTGTCGTCTGCTTACACCTCCTGCTTTAATTTAGCCATGGGGATGATTGGCATTTCTCATCCTTGGCAGTATCAACCTTCCTACTCCCCTAAATTGCTTGCATTTGAGGATGATTTTTGTGACCTTTACAGCAGGTTTCTCACTGAGCCATAGGAAATCCCCAAGCAATTTCAGGGTAGCAGTATCTGTTTGCTTCTCTGTTTTAAGCTGGTGAGCTCTGAGCTTTGGGGCCAACTCCATCATCTTTTTCCTGCTCATTCTTTCACTGTGTAAGACTGCAAGTAGTGGGAGGCAAAAATTCCCTTGGGAAAAATGCACTGAGGACGTGCAGAGAGCATATTGAACTTTCCAGAATGAGCTTCATCTCTCACTGCCACCCCTGTGAAAGCAGCTCTGGCCCTGCTGTGTGGTCATTTGCATGTGGACTTAGGGGATGGCAGGGATAATTTTCAATGTAAATCTCTGCCTGTTCAGTGTTTAATTGTGATTAACAACCAACACACCCGTTGATGTAATTAAACTGTTGCAAACCCCTCTGGAAACATCTACATGAGATGTAATGCCTGCTGTTATCAACTCTTAAATTGAATTTAAAATCTTCACAGGGCTTTGCTTCAGTTTCATTACACTTGCTTTGCTTAATTTGAGGAGGTGAGGATCTCAGTGATGTGAGAAGGTGGTGACAGGTGATCCAAGCTGCTGTGCATGTTCTGGCTCTCATTTTACCTCTTTTCCCCTGCAGGCCGGAGGACTTTCCCCAGAAGTTACTTCCCACAGGAGAACCTCTTTCAGCTCGTCCCTTCCAGCAGAACCAAGAGCTTTACTGGGGACAGCAAGCTCAGCACTCTGCAGTATGATGAGTACAGGCCCAAGTGTTGGAACAATTTTGAAAAGGGTCTGCAAGCCTTCAGCACCTCCCCTACAAAAGCCAGGAACTGTGAGTGCACCAAAGCCCTGAGTGGCCAAGATCTCAGGAGAGCTGGGATTGGGCACAAAATTAAGTTTTTGTGACCTGCTGAGTTATTAATTACTGATGTTGCTGGACATCAGCTAAGCAGCCATGGGTAAACTTTGATTGCACCCCCCAACATGAGGCACACTGCACCAGCTTGTGTGTCATGAGCAGGGTTTAGTACAACACCCTGTGTCTTACTCAGCCTTTGGCTGACAGCTGTGTGGGGTCAGCTGGTGTTCATCTTGCTGGGTTACAGGTGATTGCTTGTGTGTTGGACTGTCAGCTTCCCAGAAGACTTGGGATGTGGGAGCAAATGCATCCATAGTTTCTGTTCCTTGCCTTGCATTGCTGTCACCCCAGCACTCAAAGATGCTCCTCTGCTATTGCAGCATTGCCCATGGTGTAGAAGCTGGTTCATATTGGGCCTGTTTAGTGATGGACAACATCCTAGAAATGACCAGTGAGATAAAACTCCTCACTAGTCCCTGCCTGGGTTGCTGTTCAGCCATTCTGTATTCTGCTAAACACTCCCACAGCAGAAGGGAAATTCCAGTGTTGGCTAAGGAAACAGTTTTTAGAGGAAGGACTCTTAATGAAATAGGAATTTCCTGGGATTTGTTTCTGCTTTATGCTAATGCAGACTCGGGGACATTCCCCCCCACACCAATAGCACCAGTGTAGTTAAAACTGGTTTGTCCTTGTGCCCCTGGGAGAGAGAGAGACTCACTGACTGCCCTGTAGGGTCAGGTGGACCCTGATGCTGAAGTCTCCCTGCTGTGTTCTTCCCTCAACCCTCTCCTCTCTCCTGCAGCCCTGCAGGCACCTGTGAACTGGAGGCTGGGCAAGCTGCTGGGAAGAGGAGCTTTTGGGGAAGTTTATCTCTGCTATGATGCTGACACCGGGAGGGAGCTGTCAGTGAAGCAGGTGCCTTTTGACCCTGACAGCCAGGAGACAAGTAAAGTGAGTACAGGGGCAGGGCTGTTCTGCAGCACCCTGGGGAGCTGTGGGCTGAGGGTAGAGGTGTCCATGTCCCTGGGAGGCTGTGTGTGCAGACAGGGTGTTGTTTCCCCTCTCTGGAGTAGTCCTGAATGGCTCTGGTAACTTCTGTGCCTCCCAGTTCCTTGGTTACATTGGCCTGCTCTGTGTCAGGTATCACCTCTTGCAGGTCTGTCTGATCTTCCTTTGTTTTGTCCTTCTTGCTCCCTTCACCTTCTCCCCATCCTACTCAGTGACTTTTTTGGAATCTTTCCAGAAAGCCTCCTTAAACACAAGTAACAGTAGTAATAATATGTAATGAAACCTGTCTGAAAGCCAAGCCCTGTCTTTCTCCTTACCTTTCCCTTAGAGCTGTGCTCCTTATTTCTGGGCCTCATGTGGCCAATGGCTTTGTGGGCAGCTTCACAGCTGCTACAAAAACTGTGCTCAGCATGGAGCAGTATTTCTATCATGTTCCCAAAGACACCATTTCCCTTCATCAAGATGCCTGTGTGGTTTGTTACAGGAGGTGAATGCTTTAGAATGTGAGATTCAGCTGTTGAAGACTCTCCGTCACGACAGGATCGTGCAGTACTATGGGTGCCTGCGGGATCCTGAGGAGAAGAAATTGTCCATCTTTGTGGAATACATGCCAGGGGTAAGTGTAGTTCCTGCTAAACATTGTCCTGCGTGGCAGAAAACAGATTTACAGTTTTCCTGGACTTTGGTGAAGTTTGTATCTGTCCAGCTGAGCTGTTTTATGGCTGATGAACCAAACCAAAGAAGTGAATGCATCCCTAAGGCTTGGGAGAGCTTAGGGTGTGAGTCAGATCTCATGGTGAAGCCCCTCAACAAGCACTGGGTGAAAAGAAAAGCTTTGCAGGCAGGTTTTAGGTTTGAATCCTGGAGCAGGGTGTGTGCACAGTCTGGAATCTGAGCTTGGTGAATGTGGGACATGATCCAGATCCTGCTCCAAGCCCTGTGGCCTGAGCCCATCCTTAAGTATTTACTGCAACTCCCTGCAGGACAAGCTAATAGTACAACTGTCCACCCACAGCTGTCACCAATTATTTGTGGCTTTCAGCACGTGTGTATTAAAAACAGTGGTGTTCATTAGAGTCCTCTGGTGAGGACAGAGCTTTTTGTGGGCAGCATTATCCTCTTTTGCAGGAGTGGCTTCATTTGTGGCTTTGCTGATATAGGATGAAATAGTCATGGGGAAAAAGATCAGAATGCTTTGAGGGAGTTTAAGCAGGGGCTGGAGAGTGTGCATGGGTGAGCTGAGCATCTTTTTGTGTTTAGGAGCTTGTGAATTACATCAGCCATTAGACTGGTGGTGTAAAACAGCATAATGCTATTTACATTGCTGGAGGATGTGTTCTCCTAAGTCTTTCTGTCCAGCTGGATTTGTTCCCCAGAGTGTGGGAGAATAAATCCTTGTTTATACAGAGATTTGTAAGGTCAGAAGGGACAATTAAGTCATTTGGTTGCAAATAATTTTAGTAGTTAAGTAAATGTGCTAGAGGCTCTCTGTATGCATCTTGCATGTGAGTGTTCAGGTGGATTTCCATGTCTGATTCCCTTCCAAGCTCTATCCTCCCTCTTTCCCAGTGGGCATCTTGCCTTCAGGCCCTGCCATAAGGCATGGACCCAGAGGAGTAAATCCCTGGAATTCCAGCAGTCCCCTTGCTGATGTTTGTTAGCAGCCAGGAAACCAGCATTCGATGCTGGGGCAGTGTCCAGCAGGGCTGGAAATTCAGTGTTTGTTTTTTTAAATGATAAAGCTGAGCTCTGACCAAATACAGATTGACTTTGCTGCTGCAACAACAGCTCATTTGACAAAAGCAGCCTGGGGCTCTGGTTTCCAAGGCCAGTGGAAGTGAGGGAGTTCCCAAAGCTTGCAGGACAGCAGCTCTGCAAAGCTGGGTCTGGCCAAGCTTGCAGTTTGAGACAGTCAGCTTGGCAAAATGTTCACAGGGCCAATTTTGGGTACATCCTGAGGCTGCCATTCTTTTGCTGGCCCCCAGTTAATAGCTGACTCTGTAGTTTCTGTCCTGCCCATAAACTGTTTTTTAAATTATGCTTGAAAAACAGAGTGGTCCATTTGACCACAGGCCTCAAAGAACCAGTTTCCCCTTCTTGTTTGATATCCCCTCATCAGGGTGAGGAAGGGCAGGATAAGAAATCTGTTTTGGTTGTGGTGAGGGAATGTACCATGCATACAGGTTATATTGAGGGGGTCATTTAGAGCATCTCAGGTTGCTTCAGCAGTGCTGAGAAAGGAACAGGAGAGGCCCATCCATAGGATCACCACCAGGCTCAAAAGAAGCCAAAACAGTAGCTGGGCAGAGCAACAGCAGGGATGGGTGGATGTGGAAAAGCTGATACAGTTGGATGGGCTGGCTTGGAGCAGAGCAGCCTCTGTTCCCAGAACAGGACTGGCAGTCATGGATCCACCCCAGAGCTGCAGGACAGGCAGAAACAAGATGGGTTTCCCCTCCCACTTCCCAGCTAACCTGAATATTGGGGATAGAGCTGAGTGTGAACCCCAAATCTACCTCTGGTTCATCCCTGCTAAAACCCAGCTCTGGCACAGTGAGATACATCCATTTCCAAGTGGTCCAAAAATACAGCTAAAGCCAAGGGGATCAACCTGCTGTAGATGATAAATGTCTGCACCCCTGCTCCGTTTCCTCTTTGATCAATACCATCCAACCATTTTGAGCCTGCATGCCTGGGTCAGGAATTCAAGGACTTGTAAATGATCTACTCTGGGTGGTCTTGGTGCAGCCCCTTTTGGGGCTGGTTGTCCCTCATGGCTGTGGGTGTTCCTTGCTGTGCAAAGTTTTGGGAGGAGGCTTTCAAAGACTGACTCACTATCTTGACCCTAAAGAACTGGCTCTCTGCAACTCCATGTAAGGAGATTGTAGGCACGTAGGAGTTGGTCTTTTCTCACAGGTAACAAGTGATAGGAGAAGAGAACATGGCCTCAATTTGCACCAGCACAGATTTAGATTGGGTGCTAGGAACAATTTCTTCACTATAAGGGTTGTCAAGCATTGGAATAGGCTGCCCAGGGAAGTGGTGGAATCACCATTGTTGGAAATGCTCAAAAGAACACATGATTTAGTGATGGACCTGGCAGTGCTGGGTTAATGACTGCAATGGATGGTCTCAGAGGTTTTTTTCCAACCTTAAAGAGTCTATGAATCTAATTAATCGACTTGATCTTCTCATTTGAGTTGCAATTCCTCGTCAGTTTGGTCCTTCTCTGTGAGCTGTCAGTGAGTCCCCTGCAGCCACTAGAGGGGGAAAAAGGTCCGTGCTGTTGGCAGGAGGAAGCTGTGCCAGGCACCAGCTTGTGTCACCTTCATCTCCCCAGGGATCTGGGACACGGGCACAAGTCTTTGCTCTTAGTGGATTTCTGCTGTTTTTACAAATAGGGTTTGGGGTTTTTTTTTGAGCTGGAATGCAGAGTGGTCAGGAAGGTTTAAGAAGCTGCTGTGATGTGATGGTTTCTCTGGTCCTTACAGTTGGCTGTGTTGTTTCTTCACAACAGGGCTCAATAAAGGACCAGCTGAAAGCTTACGGTGCTCTGACAGAGAATGTCACACGGAAGTACACCAGGCAGATCCTGCAGGGAGTCTTCTACCTACACAGCAATATGATTGTCCACAGGGATATTAAAGGTGAGTGCAGAATACAGAGACTTCTTGCTTGCTTGGGTTTGCTCAGCCCAGCCACCCCCTGCCCCAGTACAAATCCAGCATAGTGCTGGGATCTGCTATTTGAAGTGTTTTTGTCCCTGCCCTTCACCAGATTGAGCCATGAAAATCTTGAGCAAGCAGCTGAAACCAAAATCTTGGGCTGTTTTCTCTCTCAAGGCATTACTGTTAACTGCCCTTACATATCTGAAAATCTGGTGTAGCATAGCCAAGAACTGAGAGGCTCTGCCATTTGAAGAGGTCTGAAGCTGCTTTCTGCTTCTGTGGGTGGGATAATCTGTTGGCCCCCATGCACTGCTCATTTTTGGGAAACCTGCTGAATGAGGGGATGCTGGTGGGAGTCAAATCTCTTGGAGAGCAGCTGCCTTAGGAGAGAAGGATTTGAAATAATGCTGAGTCCAACCCCACCACAGCCCTTTGGGTTCTCCCCTGCCTGGCTCTTTGCCTGTGCCCTTCCTGCTCTCCTCACTGTAACCACTTCAGGTGCCTGCTTAATTTCTTGGGGGTCTTGTCTTTGCTTCTCACCCCAGGTGCCAATATTCTGAGAGATTCTGCCGGAAATGTGAAACTTGGAGATTTTGGGGCCAGCAAACGCATTCAGACCATCTGCATGTCCGGGACTGGGATTAAATCTGTCACAGGGACACCATACTGGATGAGCCCAGAGGTTATCAGTGGAGAGGGCTATGGAAGGAAAGCTGATGTGTGGTAAGGAACACAGTAAAAACCCCAACACTGCTACTTAAATCCAATAGTCCTGTTGGGAAGCTGTAATAGGAACAATAGGTATAGCTAGTAGCTGCAAGCAGTGCAAAGGATGGAAAATAGGAGATACATGTTAGGATCAACTGTGCAGATATCCAGAGTAAAACTGTTGTAGCTAAATTCCCAAACAGGAGCACTCAGAATCGCAACTTGATTTTGGAAACTCTCGTCTTGTGTGAGTCTCACATCCAGCTCATCCCCATAATTGCTTTTAGATTCTGGAAAGCAGGTTGATAACAAAGCTCACTAAAAGACCTGTTGAGTTTTGGTGGCCCTGATTTTGGATTCACTATGCTCAGAGGCTCAGGGGATCTTCATGGTCTTCCCAAATTTGTTGCTGGATGTTTGCATGTGGCTCAAGCACAAAGACAACTAAAATCATTGGCTGCTTGTGAATGTTTTGATCTGTGGAGGATGACAGATGGAACCTGGAGGAGCTGGGATAACGCTGCTAATCTTCCCAGTATATGAGGAGGAAGCAATGTCTTCCCAGTCTGCTTTCTGTTAGGTGCCGAAGCAAAGAGGGTCAACAAAAAATAATCCTTCCAAGAGAGCCCTAATTGGGTGGGAAAACCTAGAAAGTCCTTATCAGGTGTCGATGTGCCCTGCACCACCTGCACTGGCTGATGGGAGGCAAATCTTTAATTTTTAAATTTTTTAGGATCAGTGGGATATGTTTAAATTTTTTAGGATCATTCATAAATAGAGGTGGCAGAGTATCTCTGCTGAGACCAGGACTCTTGGGCAAGCTGAGGGAAACCTCTCAGGCTCTTTGCTGCTCATCCCACCTGTTCTTTCTGAGGCACACCTCAGAAATGAAGTGAGATGTAGGCAGACATGTTTCATTCTGGCTCAGCTTCCCTGGGAACTACATTCTATTGCTGAAATGGTGCTGTCTGAAGCTGTGCATGGGTTTCCCTTCAGGGGATGCTCCAGTGAGCTTTTATGAGGCTTAGTATCTGCCAGTTAACTTAGTGTCTTCCTGACCTTTTATGAAACTTAGTAGCCTGGAGAAGAAGAGGCTAAGAGGTGACCTTATTGCTCTCTATGACTTCCTGAAGGGAGGTTGCAGACAGCTGGGGTTGGTCTCTTCTACCAGGCAGTACTGACAGAACCAGAGAACACAGTCTCCAGTTACATCAGGGAAGGTGTAGGTTGGATATTAGGAAGAAATTTTTCCCCAAAAGAATAATAAAGTACTGGAATGCTCTTCCCAGGGAGGTGGTAGAATCACCATCTCTGGATGTGTTTAAATAAGACTGGACATGGCACTTGGTGCTATGGTCTTGTTGAGGTGTTAGGGCACAGGTTGGACTCAATGATCTTAGAGGTCTCTTCCAACCTCATTCATTATTCTGGGATTCTGTAAAGTGGGCAGAAAAGCCCTCAGCTTTAAGGTAAGGCTCGTGCACCCACTCAAAGTTGAGTGCCAAGAACCTGTGTGACCAGGGAGCTTCAGGGGACCAGACATTCCAGGGCTATGTGTCCATCTCCTGCAGGTCTGCTCCCTTTAAGCAGGTGTAATCCCAGGGCTGGTTAGACTTGAACTGCAGTGTGGTGGAGTTCGTGGGTCCCCAGGACAAGGGAAGATATGAGAATCTTGGCTCCATGTTTCAGAAGGCTGATTTATTATTTTATGATATATATTAAAAGAAAATGATATACTAAAAGAATAGAAGAAAGGATTTCATCAGAAGGCTAGAAAAGAATGAATAATAAAATATTGTGACTGACCAGAGAGTCCGACACAGCTGGACCTGTGATTGGCAGTTCACCACATGAGACCAATCACAGATGCACCTGTTGCATTCCACAGCAGCAGACAATTATTGTTTACATTTCGTTTCTGAGGCCTCTCAGCTTCTCAGGAGAAAAACCCTAGCAAAGATATTTTTTCAGAAAATATGTCTGTGACACTGCAGTGCCACCTCCCAGTCCCTCACGCTGTGCTCGGCCTTGTTGCAGGAGCGTGGCGTGCACCGTGGTGGAGATGCTAACGGAGAAGCCGCCTTGGGCAGAGTTCGAGGCCATGGCGGCAATTTTTAAAATCGCCACGCAGCCCACCAACCCCCAGCTCCCCGACAGCGTCTCCAGCTCCTGCCGCAACTTCCTCAAGCAGATCTTCGTGGAAGAGAAGCGGAGGCCGACGGCCGAGGACTTGCTGCGGCACCCCTTTGTCAACTGCGGGCTCTGAGCGCTGCCAGCGGGGCCGGGGAGCGCCGTGTGGGGAGGTCGGGCCTCACCCGGGGCTGTCCTGACAGTCCCTCCTCGCTCGCTGCTGCCTCGGCCCCGCCGCCTTGTTGGATTTTCAAGCTGCGCTCGGGACTGTGGGGACTTCAGAGCCAGGGATTTCCCGGCCTTGTGCGGGTGCTGGACCACGGAACCTCCCTGCTGCCAGCGGTACCGGGCTCGTCCCCCCTCGCCAAGTAACTGCTCTCTTGGGGGAAGTGTGACGAGCGGGAAATGTCCCTCAGCGAAATGGCCCCCCCCGGCAAGCGGGGAATGTCCCCTCAGCGAGCGGGGAGCGTCCCCTCCGTGAGTGGGGAATGGCCTTTCCAGCGAGCGGGGAGCGTCCCCTCAGCGAGCGGGGAGCGTCCCCTCCGTGAGTGGGGAGTGTCCCCTCAGCACGGCGGGGAATGTCCCCTCTGCAGGGCGGCGGTGCCGGCGGCATCCCCAGGAGCGGTGGGGAAATCGGATGCTCAGCGGCCATCAGCACCTTTCGCAGAGGAACAGACAGGGCCTTCAGCCCAGCCGGAGGAGATGATCCTCAGACCGCAGAGTCGGGGGGACCTGGGCGTCCCCATCCACGAGGGGACCGACCCCGCTGGAGCGGGGCGGCGTTTCACACTGTCCTGTGCCTTACGCGGTTACAATCAAGGAGTGATGCTCGGCTCGGATCTGGTGTGAGGATGCAGCAGCCGTGTTGACTTTGCCTTGGCGTGTGTGTGTGTGTGTGAGTGTGGGAACCAGGGGGTCTTCTCGGGGTGCAGGAGGTCTCTGCTGGGTACGCCCGCGGACGGATGCCCGGGACCCCTGCCATGGGCTGAGGGATGGCTAAATGATGGTGGTGGTGATTAAATGCTGTGTGGGCAGGGCTGAGCAGCAGCCAGGTTGTGCTGGGAGCTGAAGGGAATCTCAGCAAGGACAGCTCTGCTCACAGCCACAGTTTGCTGAGCCCGTGCTGCTGGGATGCCATCGTGTTCTGGACATGGAGCTGCAGGAAGAGCCCAGTGCATCTCTAAAACCCAAGAGAGTGCCTAAAATTAGGCAGAAAGGACTGATGCATATGAATCTGGGTATGTCCTCCTCCAGGCACCTCCTCTGTGCCTTGTGGAGCATCAGTGGTGCCCAAGGGAGCAGCTACAGGACAATGGAGCCCCAGACTGGGAAAGCGGAGCTGCAGCAGTGGAGGGCAACTGGAAGCAGATTCCTTCCCTCAGTAGGTTTGAGGTTGAATGAGAAAATGGGCCAGTCAACAGCTGAGCTGAGTCTCTGACCAGACTGCCCTGGAAAACCTGGGCAGCAAGCACACACAGAGTCCCTGGAAGCTAGTTAATTAATTAATCAATCAATCAGATCTTGGGGGTGTTGGGATAAATTAATTGCACCATCGCACCTCCCCCTTCTCTGCTGCAATAGCTGTTTCCACTGACTCAGCAAAGGGTCAAAAAAGCAGTTACCAGGAGGCTCCATCCTCAGGCCAGTGTGTCAGACACAGGTTTATTTTAATGCTGGTTTTCAGTGAAAATGAAAAATGTTGCTCAGACTTAAGAAGAAAGTGACAAATTGGTTGTTTGTGTGAACACATCCTTGAATTCTTCCGTGTGGAAGAGATCAAGACTTTGCATCACTGGTGTGTCCATGTCCTCAGCTCTGAACAGAAAAGCAAGATTTAGGAGGCTGCCTAGTGTAGCTGTGGATGTCCCATTTCTGGAAACATTCAGGGTCAGGGCTGGATATGGCCAACCTTGGAGCAACCTGGTCTAGTGAAAAAGTGTCCCTGCCCCATGGCAAGGGGTTGGAATGAGATGAGCTCTAAGTTCCCTTCCAACCCAGACCATTCAAAGATTTCATGATTTCAAGAATTATTTCAGTTAAAAAAAAACCCAAAACAACACTATTAGGACAAATTAAAAGAAATACCCAAAAGAATTCCCTATAAATCTGTCTGAAAGCTATCAAGGCCATTTATTCCAGGCCAGGTTCCAGGGAAGCTGGGTGGAATGCTGGAGCAGCACTGGGGCTTGTGCCAGTCAGCCATGGGGTGATGGACAGCCCCCATAGGGAGGGGAAAAGTCTCCTTTTGCTGAGGGGAATGAAGAATTTTATTCTGTGAATGGGACCAAATCCATCAGTCTGGTCAGTAATACGGGATGGATGGAAGCAAACACAAGGGAAAAAAAAATCAGCGTTGTCTGGGAATGGGTTTGGCAGAAGAGGGTAACAAAGTGTGTGTTCACCAAAGCTAAAAAAAAAAAAAATCAAACCAATTTTTAAGCTGTTTTCTCTTCTTTCGTTAAATCTGTTTGGTTTGGGTTTTCTCAGCCCTTCAATGGTGGGAGGGTGTTTCCCTTTTTCCCAAAGATTTGAGAGCCCAAGGGGGCTCCTGGCTGCCCCAAAATGCTCCCAGGCCCTCAAACCACCTCAATCCTCCCATGGATGGATGTGGTGAGTGTGAGTGTGAGTGTGTGAGACACTCTTCAGGTGCCTTTGCCTTTCTGGTTTGTAAAACCCTTGCAGTGTTCTGATGTACAGAATGGAACTAGGAGAAGCAAATGGAATTATTCTACCATGTAAAGTCATTTTCTGTTTGTTTGTTTGGTTTGGTTTTATTTTATTTTCCCCATAGCGGGCCCTGTGGCTTTCCCTGTGTGCTGCCACGTGTCCATGGAGAAATAAATTCCTTTTGGGGGGTGGGCAGGGGCAGGATATGGGAACAGGCTGGCAGGAGGGTGGTGGCATCACCATCCCTGGAATTGTGGATGTGGGATGTGGTTTGGTGATGAACCTAGTTGGATTTGATGACTTTGGAGGTCTCTTCTGTCCTTAATGACTCCATGAGCCTGCATTCCTGCTGCCTGTCCCCTGCTCCCAACAGGGCAGCTCCCAGCATGGGTGGGGGGCACGGGGGGCATTGGTGTCACCATCCCGGGGGCAGTGACAAAGATTGGATGGTTCTGGCTTTTTCTGGGACAGATGGATCTGTGCAGCTCTCTGAGCCCATGGTTCTGCGTGTCCCTTTGTCCTGATATTCCAGCTTGGCCTCCCAATGCACAGGATTTTGTGCTTCTGAACTTAATTTTCCTTTAAGTAATTTCTTTTTATTTTAAAATTTGGAGTATTTTTCTTTATTTCATCTTCATTTTCCCACTCCTCCCCTCATTCCTCCATTATCTCTCCCCTATTCCTTCCCCCCCATTTTTCCCTCTTCCTTTTTTTTCCCCATCCTTCCTTTCTTCTTCTTTCTTCTTCTTTCCTTCTTCTTTTATTCTTATTTCCTTCTTCTTTACTACTTCTTTTCTTCTTCTCCTCTTCTCCTTTTCTCCTTTTCTCCTCTTCTTTCTTCTTTCTTCTTTCTTCTTTCTTCTTTCTTCTTTCTTCTTTCTTCTTTCTTCTTTCTATTTTTATTTTTTCCTTTTTTTCCACCTCTTTTTCCCCTCCCTGTTTTTCTTGTTTCCATATTTTTCCCTTTACTCCTCCTTTTTTCCTTTTATTTTCCCCTTTTTTATTTTTTGTTTCTCTTGGTCAGTTTTCGCGGAAGGAGCGCGGGTTGCCCGGGGGCGGTGCCATGCAAATGAGGTGGGCGGGGAATGCAAATGAGCTGGGGCATTTCCTCACTCTGGTATGCAAATGAGGGGGCGGGCTCATGCAAAGCAGCGAGGCGCTCCCGTGACAAGATGGCGGCGGCGGCGCGGCGGGCTCAGCTGGTGCTGGGGCACTTGGCCGGGGCTGCGTCGGGCCCGGGGGCGGCCCCCAGGGCCGTGCCGTGCTCCGGGGGCCCCCCGCGGGCCGCCAGCCCCGACGATGTGGTGGTGGTGCACGGCCGCAGGACCGCCATCGGCCGCGCCCGCCGCGGCGGCTTCAAGGTACGGCCCGGGGGATTCTGCCCTGCCCGCCGGGTCCCCGCAGGGGCTTGGCGTCCCCGCTAGGAACGGGGTGCTCCCTTCTTCGCCTCCCCTCCTGCACTCCTGGGTGCTGGGCCCCTGCTTGGCCCCCAGACACAGCTGCTGTGCTCTGGAAGAGTCAATCCCAGCGCTGTGTGATGGTTTTAATGCTGGGGGTGGTAGCGCCGGTGGCATCCCCCGAAGGAGCCGGGCGTTGTGTCCCCAGCTCCCCTGGCAGCGGTCACACGCCGCTGTCACCTGCCCTGGCACACGGAGCACCCGCGGTGTCCCTCACCTGCACGGCTTGGCACGGACCTGCCACCCTTCTGGAACCTGCTTCTCCTTGGGTGACATTCACAGGGTGCTGGGAAAGAACACGGTGCCAGGCTGACCCCAGAGGGTGCTGCTCGTTCCTTGTCACCCTCCCAAACAGGTCTCCTCATGCTGGCAGTGCTCCCCAGCAGCTGAGGCATCACCCCTGCTTCTTTCACAAAACAAATGGGGCTCCATTCACTGGGTCTTGCCACATAAATCTCTGTAGTTGTGTGATTTTGAAGGCCCTGCAGAGCGTGTTCCTATAAAGCCAAGGAAGGTGAGAAAGCAGCAGTACCTGAAGGAAACCCGGGGTAAAAACATGCAGATAATTGTGCTGGGTAGGGAAACAACCACAGTGAGCTGAGGAGTGGAGTAAAGCTGCCTTAGCACCACAGGCCAGCCCTCTGAAGTGCTCTGAGGCTGAACTGGTGACAGGGCACTTACTGGTGGTCACTGGTGGTGCTGATCCCCTGTGCTTTTAGGACACAACACCTGATGAGCTGCTGGCTGCTGTGATGACAGCTGTCCTTCAGGATGTCAACCTCCGTCCTGAGATGCTGGGAGACATCTGTGTGGGTGAGTGACAGCCTCTGCCTGGTGAAACCCCTGCTCTGGGCAGCTCTGTGGGACAGGCTCCCCATGTGGGATACTCACAAGTCTCATGGGGCTGGGTTAGTGTGTAGCATTAGGTTTTCATGCCTGTCCTGTTGATGTGGGGCTCTGACCTGGTGCTGGGCAGTACTGAGCTGTGGTGATGGGAAGATCCCTTCAGTGCCTGTGAGGGGAGTGCAGCCAATTGACTGGAATTGTGTCTTTGCACTCAGGGAATGTGCTGCAGCCTGGAGCTGGTGCCTTGATTGCAAGAGTTGCACAGTTTCTAAGGTAAGCTCTCACCCAGACTGAGGATCTTCCTCTCCTCAGTGAGCCATGGAGCAGCACAGGTCAGAGATTGCAGTGGGGCTCATGCACTCCCAGGAGTTACAGCAAATCACCTTTTGCCTAGAAACTGGACTTTGATTGAGCTCTGAGTGCTGATGGCAAAGAGACAGGGAGGCAGGTGAAGCTGTTTGATCTGTTTGTGCTGCCTGTGTTGGGCTTCTAGAGGCACATGATGTTCTGTGGGCTCCCAGCTGCACTCTGAGGCTGCACCTCTCTCTGCTGGTCCCCAAAACCATGGATGGGCTCAGATCTTTCTGTCATTGCTCAGTGGCTTGTAACTGAACTGGATCCCAGATTCCAAATATTTCAGTCAGTTTCTGTTGCCAGTGTTTGCTTCAATCACTGCACAACTACCACTTTAGAGAGGTGCAGGCACAGCCTGCCATAATTTATGAATATTACAGAACTTTTTAGGGTTTCTGGCCTGGGTCAGAGCTCAGGATCTCCAGGGGAGGGCCTTGCTTACAGAGCACCTTCTGAAGACAGACCCATGGGGAAACAGCACTTGGAACCACTTGCAAGTGTAGTGAGGAAATTATCTTTGCACTTTGCTTTCCCTTGGTGCAGGACCAAATAGATCAAGAGCTGGGTAAAGTGATCTGCCTGGAACTTGAGGGTTAAAGTTTAATCAGGTGGATAAATGCACTCTTTAGAGCTTTGGGTTGTTGTTGTTAGTTTTTATCACTGAGTCTTTGCCAACATTGCTTTGTTTTCCAGTGGCATTCCAGAGACAGTGCCGTGCTCCAGTGTGAACAGGCAGTGCTCCTCTGGCCTGCAGGCCATTATCAACATAGCTGGTAGGTGTTGTGGGCACTGGCATCAGACTCTATGCACCCAGAGCCTGTCCCACCCCAAGGGCTCATTCCTCCTGTCCTCCAGTGTCTCTGAGCAGTAAAACACTGATAATGTCTTGTGCTGTAGGGAGTTTGCAGTGTGGTGCTGTTTAAATACTTTTATATCCTCGAGTGGCCAAGTTTATCCCTAGAGAAGTGACTTGGTTTTCTGGGGATAATTTCCTCCATATCAGGCAGCTTCCAGAAGGGTCCTTCCAGCTCTCTCTGGCCCCATCAGCTCCTTGGCTGTCCCTCTGGCAGGCAGGAGGGTGAGGAAATGCTCATTTGGCTGTTGTGGGTGCCCAGGTGTTTGGAAGGTGCAGCTGGAAATGCTTTTGCTGCTGCTGACAGTAAGAACATTTCTGCACTGCTGTTACAGGTGGCATCCGAAATGGATCGTATGACATTGGCTTGGCCTGTGGGTAAGGAAGGATTTTCACAGTGCTTGCTTAGGCTTCCTGAAGGTAACACTCTGTCCCTGTGCAACAGCCTGCCAAAAAATTAGCTTTATAGCTAATCTCCAATTAACTAGCCTCTTGAAAGACCAGCAGCTCTCTTGGGTGAAGAAATTAATATCCTGTGTGTGCTAATCAGTGTACTGCAGATTTACAGGATCTGTTCTGTGCTTCAGCCCTAAGATCACAAGCAGTGTTTATTTTTTGGAGGATTATGTAAACATTAGGTTGATTTTGGGGAAATACTAATGACCACATACACATTGACTTCAGAAGAAGGAGTGAAAAAAAGCTATTCAGTAATCTTGAGGCCAAAATACTGGGTTTCTCTTTTTTTATAACTTGATGACTCTAATCTTTCATTAATTATTACTGCACACAGTAATGTCCACCAAGATGTTGTGCTTAAAGGGACTGGTGGCCTTTGCACCCCTGGCTGTGCCAGACATTGGGTTTGGCTGTGGGAAGCTCTCTGGCCTCTGCCCTGCAGAAGACATACAATCCATAAATTACAAATAGCTTTTGGGAGCTGGGTTTATCCCAAGTCTTACTCTTCCACAGAGTGGAGAAACCCTGGATTCAAGCACAAAAAACAGTAGCTGGGGTTTCCCTTACTTAAAACCCAGTCCTGTGCCTTCCTTCAGGAGCAGATGCAGCTGAAGTCAATGATGGAGTGTCCCATCTTAGAGACAGTTTAAATTGCTGATAGCACTTAGTGCAAGCTGCCTTACTTTCTGCTTGCCTTTCATTTTCCAGGAGTAGTTTCTTTGTTATTTATTCTTCATGAAGGTATTTGTGTGGTGCAGAGTAGAATTCAAACTCTCTTCCCATTGTG